AATCAATCTCCTTATACTGTATATTGAGTTTGACTGTTAATCATGATTTGTTAAATGAAACTGGACATTGATGCTAAACAATTAAATTAAATTTATAAATAACATTATAGTAATATATTTGTAACTCTAAAAAGGCGTAAAATTCTTTATAAAATTAAATAAAGTTATTTAAATATATCTTTCACGCAATATTTACTTTGGATAAGTTCTGGAAAACCGGACAGAATTTTATTTAAAAAAAAACCTTTCTATCCATTGTTAAATGCATCCATTCCAAGAAATTGCTACACGTTTATGGTTTAAATTGCAAAAATAAATTATAATTTATCTACTTATATGTTTATTATGATTAAAAAAGGCATTAATTTTATTATATGGATATGAAAAAATACATTTTTAATCGTATTTTTAAGTCAGATGACATTTTATAAAATGTTATTGTTAAAACCATTAAAATAAAAGAAAAATATTGTTTACAAAATTCCTGAATTTCGCTAAAGGCAACATTATTTCTTTTCCGATATTAAAATTGATTTATAAAAATTAAAATTAATAGAACAAGAAATTTGTTTAATGATCTAAATTTAAAACATTGAAGAATTTGTTAAGAAAAAAATAATTGTTTTTATTTTAATTAATAATAAATTAAAGTTAAAGTCAAATTAAATGTTTTATATTTAGTTAATAAAGGGGGAAACATTTAAATAATGTATTTTTATTGAAATAAAATGTTTAAAATTAATTAAAATTCTCTCTAAAATAAAATAATGTTTTATTATTATTATTATTATTAATCATTACAGTTATTTATATTAATGAAGTAATCGTTTTGTAGGAAATTCTCTGAAAGAAAACAGTAGTTTAATTATAAAAATATTTATATTCAGTAAAAAGTATATTTTGAAACAATGGATATGTCAGAAGATGAAGCAAGTAAACGTATATCTTACGATGTACGGAAATACACAGTTATATGTAACACGACTACATGCACAAAGAGAGGGGAGAACGTGCTACACAGGGACGTAGCAAACTAGAACAAAGAAGATGACCTTTGACCAAAGTATGTGACACTCGCCAACTAGCGCCGTCTAGTACAAAACATGTCTTCTTGACCTAGCACACAGGGATTACATATTTGCTTTCTTTCACTCCNTTTAAATTATTGCATATAATAAGAAATTTCATATCATATTTTAATTAAATTCATTTTAAAAGAATGTAAACATTGGATTCCTTGACGTAATTAAAGAACAGTTTAATAAATAATTATTTTATGAAAAGTAATTGTTGATTTTTAAAATAAATTGAGTGCATAAAACAATTCTGTTCAATGTTTATGCTTGAAAGCATAAGTTTAAATTGCCTTCCAGTATTTTCCCTTTGATAACTATCTTGTTATTTGGACTTTTAATATATATATTTTTAACTCCACAACTTCATATAAATAAGAGAACAACAATTTAATTTAAAAAGAAAAATATAATACAATGTAAATCAACCAAATAAAATTAAATAAAGTTATTTAAATATATCTTTCACGCAATATTTACTTTGGATAAGTTCTGGAAAACCGGACAGAATTTTATTTAAAAAAAAACCTTTCTATCCATTGTTAAATGCATCCATTCCAAGAAATTGCTACACGTTTATGGTTTAAATTGCAAAAATAAATTATAATTTATCTACTTATATGTTTATTATGATTAAAAAAGGCATTAATTTTATTATATGGATATGAAAAAATACATTTTTAATCGTATTTTTAAGTCAGATGACATTTTATAAAATGTTATTGTTAAAACCATTAAAATAAAAGAAAAATATTGTTTACAAGAATTTTAATATGTTAAAATTATTTTTAAAAAATCATTGAAAATATTATCTAAAATTCAGCTCAAATGAGTAATTTATATTAATTTAAACTTAACTTATAATTATTTATTTTATTCAGATTTTTTTAAATTAAATATAATTTAAATTTAAGCCAAAAAGCTCAAAATTTATACATTAATAGCTTTAAACGAATGTTTATTGTGTTTAAAAAATTTTATAATCGAAAAAGTATCTATTTTTATAATTTAAATAAAAGATAATATCTTAAATTTTTATTTTTTTAGTTATTAATTTATTAGAAAATAATAATATTATTAATATTTTGATTTAAAGCAAAAATAACACTAACTAAATTATTTTTATGTAAAAAACACTATTAACATCATTGAAAAATTCACAATTAAACAATAGTTTATGTATATAAAATACTGTTTAATTGTGTACATTCTGTACTGCTTTTACTATAGTTAGATCTCTGCGTGTTTTCTTTAAAAGTCAAGCTGTCTGTCTGACTTTTTTATATCAAATAAAACACTTTTTTAAATCTGTTTTTTAAATAACAAATATCTGCATAATAAAGCCAACCTCGTACATAAGACGGAGTAATTCTCATGCTAATTCGGAATCAGATATTTGGTTTTTATACTTTTCTTCGGGGATACACAGTAAAAATAGATTCATACAACATTGTTAAATTACTTAAGAGAACAATGCATATGGAAATCTTTAATCACGGAGTTTTGTTTCTCTAACTGCTCTTGTATCTTGAGAATTAGTGTAATTATAAGAGAACAAAACAACTCAATTAAGAATATCAAAAGTTCTTCAAAAGACGTATTCAAACACTACTTTCTTCTGGAACTTCTTTTAGCAATCGGATATCCGTCAAAGACGATATCTGATACCTGGAAGTCGGAAGTTCAGTTCTATCAGTTAGCTCTCGGAGGATGAATAAATAAAGGAAAAAAAAACCTAAATAATATCTGTTAAATATTTATTAATTTGCGACATGACTGTTTTATACTTGTTCTACTTCACCATATAAAATTTCAGATCTCTTCATATTTGTTTGTTTTACTATCTTGTCCAATAGTTATTGGCAACTGAAATTGGATGTCATTCCTCATATTGCTCTTCAGTCAAGGAACAACAACATGTATTCTTGCTATAAATATACTTTTTATTGGACTAGACATTTTCATTTTAGAATTCAGTACAAAGCAAAACTTCGTTTAATTCTTGTTTTATTTGAAAGTCTTCCAAATCCTCGGAAAAAACTCTTTTTCTTATCCAAAAAATACCGTATTCTGTTCACACAATACCAAAAGAATACTTTTGAAGACATGACAATTTTTTCACATTTTCAAGAAGAGTTCTCTGGAAAAACTTTGATCGAAGTGATAATAATTTATACAGATTTTGTGATGTGTAAATTAGTATCAACTTCATCAAAGTTTTACTAGAAAACTCTTCTTGAAGATGTGAAAAATTATAATGCACGTAATAGAATATAACGAACATTTTACACTAATAAAGAATATTCTTTTGCATTTCTGATATTAAACTTGGTATATGAAAATTTCATAATGATAACAAGTTACATCTGTTACTGAAATTAGTTTATTGACAAAGATCACTGATTATGATAGAGAGAAAAAAAGCAAATAGGGATGTCCAAGTATCTTGTTAGAATCAACGATGACACATGACCTTGCATGGCACCATTACTGTTCCTAATGCCCTCCATGAAAGAAATGATTAGATTTCGTCTGAAAGAGTTTCTGCTCTGTCCATCTTCTTGTGTCATTATTTAGGCAAGATGTTCTTGACATTTGACATCATTTCTTCAAAAGATGGAATAAAATCAAAAGAGATTGCACCAATTCCTTGGGTGATATTTGTAGACTCAATTCCCTAAAGGTATTCACAGTTGTAAGAATGATTGATGATCTGTCTTAAAATTTCAGATATAAAGTTTTTGATTTATTAATCATTATGAAAACTTCCAGATGCAGACATAATAAACTCTTAAAAAATCTGAAAATTTATTCTATCTGAAATTTGTGTTAAAAATTATTATAATAAATCTATTTGGCATATTTCCTTTTGATAGTAATAAATTTATAACAAATATTTCGTGTATACAAACGAATATTCGAGTAAATTAACATAAAAATCCTTATATTATTAACATTATCTCAGTTAGTTTCTGCATTAACTACGCTGATAAGAGAACAAATCATTATCTCAATTCTCTAATAAGGTATCGAGATAAGAATTCAGTAAAGAATCATTGAACAAAATAATATGTTAATTAGATAAAATTTTAAAAAATCATTTAATAAAATATTTTATCTATAAATTTTTCAAAGTTAAATTTTAATTAAGTTTATTTTTTAAATGAAAAAATTTATTTAATATATTAATAAGCATTGATAAAATTTTAATATACAAGCAATAAAAAATAAAAATTTAATTTATGAACAGATTTTTTTTTAAATAATTTATAAGATCTTTTAATAAATATTATTAAACAACATATTTTGGAAAAATTCGAAAAATTAAATTATTTATTAAGACAATAAAAATTAAGAATTAAAATTTATAATTGACAATTATAAAGAAAATAAAGAAATGTATATAATTATAAGTTTTAATTAAAGCTTGTATTGTTTAATTAAGATTAAGAAGCTAAATTTTTATTAAAATTAATATTAATTAATATTTTCCATATAATTAGAAAATAAAAACAAATATATTAATAATTCTAATTTAAATATTATTTTTAATTTTAGCATTCGGTAGCATCAAGATTTGAATTAAAAAAGAACAAAATTGCTAAAATTCAAATTAATTAATTGTATAATTACTAATATTAAAGGGTTATTATATTAATTATGTTGCATTTATATTCTATATGCATTTTATTATATAAAAATAAAATATTATCCCGAATAAGACGAATTTAAATACATAAAAATCGCCTGTATTTAATAATTTAGGATGTTATGAAGTTAAAATTCTGCTGGTCATAAGCATATAATATATGTAAATAAGTTATCATATTTATGAGTCTTAATGCAATCTTATCGGTCATATACCACACGATTTTAGAGGAAATGCACTCTTTTAAGAAGTGCACAAATTTAATTTTAAGAAACTATGAGTTATTATAATAAACAAGCTCAGTTACATATTCTTATGAACTGAGTTGCAACACACATTTCTGCTGGACGCGTGCATCGTTTTTATTGATTTTCTCAACCACATGCACTCCCTCCATGAATGAATGGTAACGATCCAACGTAAGCCTCCGCCCCGAACGATATCCGCCATGTTGTGGCATTGTGAGTTCTGCTGGACTTGGACGACTCACCACAGTCGCTCTACAACCTCAAGTTTCCTCACTGCAGAGTGAGGTCACCATCAAGTTAGCTGAAGTAGAAGTGTTTTGGAGACCGAATGAAGCATAAACTAAGCTGTGGATCTGCCGTCTGGATTGACGGCAGTGCGTTCTCTATGCATCACGAGTCACGACGATAGCTAAATCAACCCGGTCCTGTTTTGCTTGTCTACGTGACGTGTTGGTTGTAGTTTGATCGCATTAGTGAAGGTTTTCAAAGATGGGAAATGAGGCGAGTCAGGAAGGTGGAGTTCCACCAGGCCAGGCCGAAGGTCAATATCCGCAAGGTGCCTATCCACCATCTCAGCAAATGAGACCCGGTCAATCAGGACCGGCTATGGGAGGTCCTATAAGACCCATGCAAGGAGGACCGATGGGCCCAGGTCCTATGCAGCAGAGGATGATGGGTCCGATGAGTACAGGACCTGGGCAACCTAGATCAATGATGGGAGGACCGATGGGTCCAAGTCCCGGACAACAGCGACCTTCCATGGGTCCTATGAGTGGGGTTTCTGGTCCACAGAGGCCTATAATGGGTCAATTAGGTCCGGGACCTGGACAACAGAGACCCATGATGGGAGGTCCTATGGGTCCAAGTCAGCAGAGACCGATGATGGGAGGACCTATGGCACAACCAAGAACTCCTGCACCCCCTCCAGTAGATCAACCGCCAGATATAGATCTCAGTAACCTTTCGGAAGAAGAAAAGGCCAAAATTCTTTCAGTGATGGCGAGAGCTCAAGATATGGACCAAGATTTAACCCAACATAGAAGGTAAGTTGTTATTATTTACAATTCTCAAAAGAAATGTTCCTTTGAATATCATAAAAGTATTTAAATCATTTTAATCATGCAATTTACGAGAAAGGAACCTCATAAAAGCAGAAGTGCATAAAATCCCAAAATATATTACCGCAAATTATTCTTTAGAAAGAGAATATCGAATTTTACTGAGTGTAATTACCATTGATTTTTGTGACAGATATAGCATATGGTTACCAAGAAATACAAATGTGTCAATATTTTTCTCCAACCAAAAATTTCACTGTAATTTACTTTTTACTGTTAAATATTTTTAATATAAGTGCATTTTAATGCAATTCAATAAAGCAAAATGATTTATTTCGAATACTTAATCATTTATTTTCATTTATAGTGAAATTTTTGAACAACAAGACAGTTCTTTTTATTATATTTATAACAAATTAGATATAAAATTGCTTTAGTAATTAATCTTGTAATCCAAACGAATATTCGAGTAAATTAACATAAAAATCCTTATATTATTAACATTATCTCAGTTAGTTTCTGCATTAACTACGCTGATAAGAGAACAAATCATTATCTCAATTCTCTAATAAGGTATCGAGATAAGAATTCAGTAAAGAATCATTGAACAAAATAATATGTTAATTAGATAAAATTTTAAAAAATCATTTAATAAAATATTTTATCTATAAATTTTTCAAAGTTAAATTTTAATTAAGTTTATTTTTTAAATGAAAAAATTTATTTAATATATTAATAAGCATTGATAAAATTTTAATATACAAGCAATAAAAAATAAANCAGGAATCCTTCCTCTTTTATCTAAACTTGATATCAGATTTAAGTTGATATTTTTAAATTTTTATTATTTAAAAAGCGAAAAAAAAACAGGGAAACATTTTAAAAAGATTTAAAGATGAAGGAGTGTTCCAGATGCAAGTCAATTTTGCGTAGAGCAGACAATAACATTTGTTTAAAAATATTTTATATTAAAATTTCTGTTTGAATTTTTTGTGATCGGCTTTAAGTGTTGTAATAAGATTTTAAAAACATAATTTGTTTTCGATTTTTATAAACGAGTTAATGTCGAAACAATTACGCGATTCCTCAAAATATGGATTTTTTAAAAAAACATTTTTCTAAAAGTGAATTGATTATTCTTATGTTAGTAGAATGAATTTTAAAAAAAGAATTATTTAATTCATCTGTTTTCAGATTTAAAATTTTGATGATGATAAATTAATCGATAAATAACTAATAACATTTAAATTTAAGCAATGCTTTCGGTTATTAAAATGTTTTCAGATTTTTTTTATTATGATAAATAATTTGATAACATATTTTTAAAATTAAAAATTCTTGGATAACATTTGTAACTACAAAATACAATTGAGTATTGCGTAATGAATAACGGAAGTATTTTACGGCGAAGTCTTCTTGCTTTACAGAGAAACAACATATACAGGGGTTATTGAATTGTAGAGAAAAGACAACTGCGCCTTAGAGCTATGATTTTGAATAGGTAGATAGTAATGACAAATGCAAGATTTTGTCTCTAGAGATATCTTGATGCTGTTTATTCAGATGTAACTAAATTTGTCTATCTAATGAAGATCCTCACGAGAATTGTCTTTATGTGTAATCCAATCACTTCCTCTTAGTACAAAGAAATGCTTATTTTTCAATATTATATCATATCTCTCATTTAAAGTAAATAACTTTGAATATATTATTTATGTGTTAAAATGTAATTTGATTTATTATTTTTTCTTCTCTTATCCCTATAACTCATAATTAAAGAAATAGGTTTATTACTCAAAATATTAAAATAAACATTACTCAATGTGTGAAATCAAAATAACAATTTACAGCAATAGAAATTTTAATTAATTAAATAACAAAATTAATTCTAAGGCTAATATTGTAATTAATTTTAGTTACAATTTAAGGTAGAGATACAAATTTTAGCAATTGGAAGTTTGTATTTCAAAAATTTAAATTTTTCGTATATTGTTCTAATAAAATATTTTCCCATTTATGAAATTATTATTATAATTATACAATATTTATTCAATTAAAGTAGCTCATTAACTAGCTAATGATAAATTTATTAAACACGATTATTTAATTTTGTTAAATTATTGTGTTTAATAATTTATTATTACTGCTCTGTATTCTGATATAGAATTTTATTAGAAAATTCCATCTTAGTGCTAAAAGTGATTTAATTATTAAAGCTTAAAAATCTTAAAGTCAAAGGATAATGGTTACAAGTTTTTAAAATTTTATTTTCAATATTTTTAACAAAGAATAACTAATTTATAAGTAAAACTTACAGAATACATGATGAATTATAAATGTATAGATGTGTTGAGTTGACAATTTCAAAAAAAAGTCGATATTTTAATTTCATAAATAAATGAAATACATGAATTATTTAACTTAAAAATTGTATGTAAAATAGTTAACATCTATACATGATAAATTATGGAATAAAAGAAGTATTACATATCTTTTTATGCTGAAAGTATTACATAATGAAATATTGTCAGTAGTACAATGATAGGTTTCTATTTTTAGTGTTCTACCTTAAATTATTTTCATTGATATAAGCACTATATTTAACTTTTATGGTTGAAAAACATGCTTATCTACAATTTAATCTATTTTAAACTTAAAAAAAATGCATATTATTTATTATAAAATTTTTTAATTAAAAATTATCTACATACTATGCCATCAAATTAATTACTTCTGAGTAATAATTGATATTATTATTGTTAGCAAGGCAAATTGGAAAGAAAAACAATTGCAAGTTTGGTAAAAATTCACAGTTTTGTTATAAAAATAATTATATAAATATTTTTTATCTAATTAAAAATTTTAAACGATTTCAAATAATTAAAGTTTTCTTATTTTGTTTAATTAATAAAAATAATTCATTTAAAGATATAATGAAAAAATATAATAATTTTTTTTGTTCTATTTTACTGTAATATATAATATTCTAGCTTTTACTAATTTTTAAAATTTAATTAAAATGTTAGTATTGTCATATCAATAAACTTAGAATTACTAACTAGGATTTATCTCAATAGAAGTTTTAAAGAACATTTTGTAAATAATTTGTTTATCAAATTTTAAAATGTTAACTTCAAACAATTTTGTAAATTTATATAAAATACTTTAGTTCCTTCCTTCCAATGAAAATAATTAACACTTTAGAAAGCATTGTTAGCATATATACAGAGTAATGAAAGATAAATGAAGGGTTCAGGTATAATAGGTGGGTAACCCACATGAACTTAGTTTTGGGAAAGCTGCAAATAAAGATTCTTTTATTGTTTGTACTTTAAAAAGCAAAATTACAGAGATCTCTAACTGACTTTGCCATCTTCCTATGAGCGTAAATTAATACTTTTAATCATTTCATAAAATGAATGTTAAGTAGAGCAATCTGTTAGTAATAAGTATTCAAAAAGTATGCATTTGTGGGTTAAAGAGTTGAGTATAAAAGCCATTTTTATACCTAAACCCCTTAAATATTAAAAATAAATTTATTGATAGGAAAAAATCATTTTAAAATTAAATATTATTATTTAAAATAAGTAAAAGTATATATATTTATAATTATAAAAACAAATATAGAGAATAATTGGTATTATATTT